TACTTTGGTGACTGTTTATAGTTTTTAAATAAAAGACTGAACATTTTCTTGAGTCCTTTATTTCTGAGTATGCTTAAGACATTCTAAAATTTACAGTCTAGCTGAAGGCAAGGTCAAACGGTCACCTACTTACTTTGTACTTTGTGATAGGTGTATCACGTGACAGACACCGTGGTCACGGTAGGAAGACCAGGAGACCAAATTTTTTGTTTACAATATTATGAACTTAAGCCCAGAGAGTGGTAGACAGACAGTTAAGAGCTCAGTTGCCCTACTGTGTGTCATGCATCTGACTGAAAGCTTTTGTTTACCATTCAACTGTAGGTTTCAGTTTAACTTGAATTCAAGGGCAGAGTCCTTACAATGAGCTTCAGTCTGAACATCAATTTTGATTAAATTCAGAGGCAGATTTTTCTTTTTTTTTTTTTGCTAAGAGCTTCAGTCTGGACATACACTTAAATATCTTGATTTACTAATTAGTACCAAAAAGTAATTTCTCCCCAAGGGGCATCTCTGCCTGTGCACTCAGCTCTATCTGTAAAAAAAAAAAAAAAAAAAAGTGTGCTGACACCCTAAACTTGGTATTCTCAGGTTGGTAGCCTTAGACTGGAGCTGCCCAGCAGACACCCTGAGTCCGGGTACCTTACTGTATCCCTCAAATATTGCCAGACTAAGGGCAGATGGTTATAGAAATTTATATTCACTGTGTTTATCTAAAAATCTGAGGTTTCCTGAAATAATTTTTGTAACATCACTGTTTGCTTGTCTTCAAGGTACCTTTTTCCTTTCAAAGCAGGAATTACCATGGTGGTTAACCTTTAGTAGCAGAAACGACAGGTTTACGACAGTGACTTCCATAGTCATCATCCTGTCACCTCGCTGAACTGCATCCTGTAGTTGTAGACTTTGTGTTAAAATGTATAAATGTGTCCTTAGTGCTTTTAAGCAATGGTCTCGGCAGAATTTTCTAAATGTATTTGACCTGATGAAACCAATTTCTAGCTTCCCTTAGGCTTCCCTCCGACAGCTTTACCTGACTAATGGATAACACGGACTTGGTGGGGACGCAGCTGAATGCTCCTGCAGTCCAGGCCCTGCAGAACCCTCGCAGTCATGAAAAGGTGCTCCTTGCTAGACAGAAACTTGCTGACTTCCAGTATTGTTATTTTTGTCTAAAGTTCTGTAAATACAAGCTTTAATGTTATCTTTGAGAAATCTATGTAAATAATAGTCAACAGCATAGAGACTGTACAATTCTGTGTTATATATGTGCCTAGTGCTCTGTTGGCACTTAATAAATTTTAAGTAACAAAACTGAAGATCATATAGTGAAGGCATATTTTTCTTCCGACTTGAGACAGGATATGACTATATATTAATGAGACTCAATAAACCAAGCCACACGTGAAAACTTGTCTCATTACTTTATAGCCATGCCATGTATGTTTTTTAAACCAGAAAATGACAATAAAACTGATTTTTGAAATGAGTGTTTTGGATAAGTGACTTCTGTCCTGATCTTATAACTAAGGTGCTAAAGACAAAATGCGAAGCTCTTCCCCAAAGGAAGACAAGAGCGGAGCTTCAGTGTCAGCTACACAGGCCGCCTCACACTGCTCACACTGTTCTCTTCCCAGACAGTAGAAGGCATCATCTATAGCCAGCTACTGTTAACCACTCATACTGCACTTGACTAAACTCGGGCAATCAAATCCTTGGAATTAGCCTCCTTCTAAGGCCACAGAAGAGAAGAGACCGACCAAATCACTGGCTGCTTCCTTCATAGCCAGTAAACTTTATCTGGCAAAGATTTCCATTCCCTGAATTGGTTTGGAAAAAAAAATGCAAAGGGACAGTATCAATGTAAGTGGATTAATTTCCTTTGATAATACCACCACACTTAAGTATTAAAAGGACGGTGAGATAGCTTGTTCTGAAAATGCTTCTAACACAAGCATGAAGATCTGAATTAATGCCCAGAACCTATGCCAACAAGATGAAGATGAGGACTACCATCCAAGGTTGTACACACAATTAACTAGAGGTTTTCATCTACAATCAGTATTTTAAATGAACTAGGACATAACAAAAACCATACAATACAGTATTATACTGTACAGCAAACCTTAGTTCAAGCACTGCTCACATAGAGAGTGGCAGCCCCCCCAAGGCTTCCTATCTCGTCTCTGCCTCAGAAACAATTACCCTGAGGCAGTTGCTTGGCAGCTTAAATATTCATCTCTAAATACTATGGTTTTTGAGTTTAGAGACGGTAGTGTGATTCACTGGTACTACTGAAGTGACACCACTAACACAGCTGAACAGCACACGCTACGAGAGTTTAGGCTGGTTTTGTCTATTATAAATTATAAATGCTGTCTCCTTATATGCTTGAGCATGTGTTCCTACTGTGCAGTTACTTGGAAATGGACTTGAAGTTATTGTATAGTAAATTACTGTCATGGAGTTTATGGTAACTCAGGTAAATCAGGGTCCAAATTGGAGTCTAGGTCATGATCCCTAATGGCAGAGTAGTCCTTGCCCTCCCGAACACATCCATTTCTTAAAACAAAAGTTTACGTTCCTTTGGGAAGCTTGTAATAGCACTGTTAGTTAAGTGTGCTGCTGATGCTGGACATTAGAGGAACTGGCCTCTGCAGCTGACAGCCACTTTGAGAGGACCAGAACCCGTTTCCGTCACCTCAACCAAGAAGCCTACGCACAAACTGTCCTTAATGGAGAGGGTATTCTACAGGCACTACAGAAACTGGTTAATTGGATGAAAACAAAATTATCTTGGGTTTGGCCAAACCTAAGGAGGAGGTGGCTTTTTAAAACCTGGAGAAAGAAGCACAAAGGACACTATAGTCACAAATAAGATAAGTTCTATCCCTGCCTTTCTCTTTCCTTTCTTAAAATGCAGCTGTGTCTGTGCTACCCGGTCAGGAAGAGACAATTTTAAGACAGCCCACATAGCAGAGTACACTGGGAATCCACGCAGGTGCTATTGATTTCACGAAGGCAGCTTGTTAGTTTTGACTCAATATTCATATAAACTTTTAAAAAAATTCTCATTCTTAATTATGCGTATGTTTCTCAGGGTGGGTATGTGAATGCCAGTTACAGGTAGGTGTTGAGCTTCATGCTGTGAGTTCTGGGATCTGAACTCAGGTCCTGTGTTCAAGCAGGACACATCTTAACTACTGAGCCATTTCTCCAGTACCTCAAATACATTTAAGGAAATGTTACGGCTTTTTTAAAAAAAAAACAATGGCTTTAAAATTTAATGTTTCATACTCTGAGAGTATTAATAAAAGTGAAAAAAAAAGAAAAACCAGGATGTGGCTTCTTGGTAAAGAACTTCCCTAGCACGTATGTTCAAAGCTCTGAATTAAATGTCCCACATTACCTGAGAGAGAAAGTGAAGGGGCGCAATCAGAACAGGCTCACCTTCCTCACTCACCTGTGCCAAGTGAGCTGCATCCTCCTGCCTCGTTCACTTGTTTTAGCTGCTCTTCCTGTTCTGCCTTGAGATTTACATACCAGTCAAGCACAGAGGGAGGTGTCTAAACTCTGAATTTGGTGCCATCACTAAGTAACCATGAAATTAGATAATGGTTCATCTTTATACACTTCAATTTTCATAATACTAGAATTGGCATTATAAATTAAACAAGGAACACAAATGGTAAAAGTCAATAAATATACTGTTACTGTACTATGGCAATATCAAATTTAACGTGAAGAATCAAATCCTGACATACGAGAGGTGTGTATGTGATGATGAACAATTGAATATTCATAAAGTCCCTATGAAGAAGTCTTAATCATGTTCGGTACCAACATCAAAAGCAGAATTAGCAGCTAGAGAGACGGCTCAGCAGTTGCTGCTTTCAGGACTGGAGTGGGGTCTTAGCACCCATAGGCAGTTCACAAGCCCCATAACTCCAGTTCTGGGGAACATGATGCTCTTTTCTGGCATGGTGCACAAAAAGAAAGGCTATAGAAAGACAAAGGGTAGGTTCAAATAAATTAAACTCCCCTGAGAATGAATTATCCAGATTTAAAATATGAATATTCTGAAATGCAATGCACCAGAGTACACAAAAATAGAAGGTATAATGGTTAATCACAAAGGGAGCTTGCTAGGACAGTTAAAAAACAACTGCACGTGACCTGACACTGCTTACAGAGAACAGATAGTGTATACACATACTGACAGCAAGATGCATCTTTGTCCTACAAGGCAGGCAGGCACAGAGCAATCCAGAGCAATGTTCACACCAAGAAACGGGACATGATATGCACTCTGCCACAGCCTCATAAAACTAGATTGACAATGGAAAGAAACATTTTTTGAGTGTCTCTCTATAGACCAAAAAAGAAAAAAAAATCACCTTAAGTAAGCAATACCAGTAATAATTGAAAACATACAAATGTAAAATTTGTGAATCTTTAGCAAAAATTAATGAAAAGTCAATTCTACAAGAAATTATTCATAAATAACAATGTAAAATTGATATAAAACTTTATCTACAAAAATGCTCTCCTATAAACAGCTTTGGGTTGTTTTTGAGAATATCTTGTAACCCAGGCTGACATCAAACTCATCTGATGATCTTGAATTCCTGACCATCCTTCCTCTGCCTCCCAAATCCTGAGATCAAGGATCCATGCCCTACACCTGGACGCAAACATTTTAAGTAAAACTTTGTACTGTACTAATTTACATAATCACATTTGTAAAAATAACATTAGGCATGGTAGTGTATACCTTTAATCCCAGAACTCTGGAGGCAAGGCAGGATCTCTGTGAGTTTTGAGGCCAGCCTGATCTATGTCAGTGAGCTCAAGGCTAACCAGGACTACATGGTAAGACCCTGTCTCAAAAAAAAAAAAAAAAGAAAAAAACCGAAGCAAAACATCAAACAAATATCCAGTATCAAGGGACTGTTTTCAAAGTACATCTGTGTAACATAATACTATACAGTCACCAGGAGTCATGCTGTCAAGTTAATTTTTATTAAAATGGAATATTCTCAATACATTAATTGAAAAGAATAGGTCATAACATATAATGTGCATTGAAGCCAGGCTTGGAAGAAGTTAACTTTGGTAGAATTACAGAATTTCTTTTTGCTTTCCAGTCTCTTCCATCTTTAGAAATTACTCAGTGTTTTAAATTTCCTACAGTGATTAATTTAATTAGGAAAACTATTAAAATATATGTTTATAGCTAACTCTGACCTTTTTATTGCCTAGATATTAATGTGATCATGATGCTCATTACTTTGGTAAAAATCCAAGAAATACTTCAACACATTGGAAATGGTTTAAATTGATATAAAAGTCATCATTTCTCAGAAAACTTAATAAAATTTTAAAGATACTACTTTGTTTAGCAAAAAAAAAAAGTATTAGGATATATTACAGACCACAATCTGGCTTTAAAGTGTTTCAGCAGACAACACTGCAAGTCATACTGTCTCAAACTCAGGGCAGCCACTGTGCTTGAAGCCACGGCTCTGGGTGGAATGGTCAGCGGAACACATCATGGCCATTTGAAGGCAGATAATGGAGAAGACGTAGCAGCCAGTTACCAGAATAGCAACAAACAATTACAAAACCTTTGGAATGTTAAATAATGAGTGCATATCCTGGCGTTTCTACAACCCAACACATGGATCCCTGTGACTGGCAAGTTAAAGGGTCCATGGCTCCAAAGGCCAAGTCAATACTGAGTAACAACCAAGAGGACCTGCAATCCCCCAAACTGTGTTAAGTTCATATACGTGCAAAACTAATGTGGATTTCTGAGAGGAAAAAAAAAAGCCCAAGAATGCAAAAGGAATGCTCTTTTTTAACACAAAGCATGCGTTTTCTACTTCAGTCTGAATATATTTCTAATACATTTCTAATCCAGTCAGAATATATTCTAGTGTTAGAATATATTAGAAATAAGCAGCTATTCTGAATAGTTAGCTATTCTGAATAATTATTCTGAAGTGCCCTACCAGATACAGAACACATACCTGTTTAATTTCAACAACAGTGGAGCTCTACAAAGCATGGGCCCTTAACACTTCACACAACCTCCACTTTTCCCCCAAACGCTAACACATGTTTAGCAAGAGCTAAATGGTATAAAACAAAACTTAAGTCGACATTTAACCCCCAGGAGTCAGCAGAACAATGCAGGGAGCGCATGTGCTGCATCACTAATGAGGACAGACAGCGCTGCCACACCAAGTTCGTACCACTGTTCAGGGACCCTGAACTGAAAGAACACGGCGTGCCACTGGTGTTTGGAACTGTCTTCCAAACTTCTTCTGCCATCATAATCTAAACACAAACTTTAATTAAAAATGTAAAATGTTACATCATAAATGCCAAGAAATGTAGAAATGAAGATCAAAACCTTTTGGAAATGTCTTAGGACTGTAACCATAACCTAACAAAGCTTGTTCCTAGTGTACTCACTATGGGCTAAAATCTCAAAATTAGCCTTCCTTTCAAAGCTAGATAGAAAGCATTATGTTTGCCTGTACTCTAGTACAGTCTCACAGCGACTGACCGCTGTCCTTGTTAGTGAATGGAAGGCCTCAGTGAGCTTACCCTGATCCATCACCATATTACTGGGACGGCATCTCAGCTATTTAGTATCTATTGAAAATTGTAACTGCGATCAAAGTTTGTCATAGACAGGCTTTTCTTTCTAGATGTCAATCAAAGTAACAGTGCCATAAGCGCTGCGAACTTACTTTTCATAAGCATCAGCATATTAACATATCTCAATGCTTTTAAAAAAAAAACCCAAAAACCAAAAAACTCTAGTCCCTTATACCTATGTAAAAAATAGCATTACTTTTAATGCTATTAATCTTCCTTTCTTCTGTCAGACACACTTTAACAAATTAACACTTTATTCACTGTAAACCATTAGGGAACTTCTTAAGTGTGGGAAGAATCTCACTATGATACCATGACAAGGGGAGCAGCAACCTGAAGCCAAGGAAGCAGGTCTTGTATTCCATGCTAGCCCTCCCAAAGGGAGCCTTTCTCTAGTTGGCACAAATAATCTAACATCACTGATGTATATAGGAAGGTATAGGGAAGAGCACAGCTGGGTTTGGTTTTGTTTTTTAAAGAAGTAGCTTTTTCCCAAATTAGTCTTCTGAATTCAACAAAGCTGTGAGCTGCAAAGTTGTAATGTAGCACATCAAACCACTAACTTTCTTTTTCCTAGATTGGGAGAGAAGAGCACAAAAGCTGCACAGTGTGACCTTTTACCTGGTGATGAAAAGGTGAGGGGTGCCTGCAGGTCTGAGGCTAATTCTTACTCGTGATGATTTGCTTCTATCTAAGCCACTCACTCAGATATGTGCTTCACAAAAATGTATCTGGGACCTGTACTTAGCATGTTCTACTAGTGTTAGATGTATTTAGTAGTCATACACTGTTTAAATGTCTACAGTGAGAAGGGGCGAGGTCCTAACATCACACTTTTTCAGCCTGACAGAATAAATGTATTATACAGAGATATAGACATCTCTTCCACAAGTTTCTGGTTTATGCATTCCACTGTTCTCCTAAAAAGCTATCCATTTTTCAGTATCCACATCAGAGCACATTCCTGATAAAAACGCACATTCCATTACACCCTTGGTTTTCCCTTGAATTTGTTTTATTGGGGTTTGGGGTAAGATATAGAAGTTGCAGTGCACAGCTGTATTTTGAACAAAACATATCCTACAATAAAAAAAATAATTTTATCAAAACCAGATTTCCATCACAGTTGTGTATAATCTCAGTAAGGTACACGCTGAATTGCACTTTATAGACATTGCGACAGTGTCCTTGACAGTGCTCCTCCTGTCAGCCTATATTTTTTTCCGTTGACATGGGTTCTTCCAGAGTTTTCTTCTGGCTTCCCTTCCGTGAGTATTTGTACTTGTCTACGTATGCTTTAACCAGATTTGCCACTTTAGTAGAATTTACTTCTCCGCTCTTACTATGACAAACCTAAAAAACAAGGGGGAGATGTTTTCATGCTCAATGCCGAAAGGATGGCACTATGAAAACCCGACAGACAAGCAGCGTGTCCTCATGTGCACACCTCATATGGCTCACTCAAAGGTAAGGGAACAGACGAGGACAGGCGGTCTTTATTACAGCAGAGGTGGGTACAATGCTCCACGCTGTAGCTACACTTACTTTGTCCACTGCCTTCCGCACGATCTCTTTGTACTCTTCCTTAGTGATGTCTTTATTCTGATAAAATGGCTTAATAGCCAGTTTCACCTCCTGTGCTGCTTTCTCTTGAATTTGCAATTTCTGATGAGAAGAAAATGTGTAATTATTATCTGCCAGTCTTAGACTCTCAAATGCTTTCTAGAAATTTATGAAATTGAAAACAATGCACTTAGACACTATAAGGAACTTTTCAAATGCTATAAACAATGCACACACATATCGAACATTTCTAAACATGATTAGGTAATATTAGCAGTAACTCACCAAGCATCAAGACAAAATCCAATGTTTGAATTTCAAACTCCCAATAACAAACCCCCTCCACCTCTCATAAAACCCAAGCTGTTATTTGTCCATCTTTACTATATACAGAATTGTGTGGTTGCTCTCAACCTTCAACTTGCCTTGTCTGTCCTCGAGCTATCTGCGCTGGCTTCCACTGTAACACTTACTTTGCTTTCTGCCAATTTTACAGCAGCGTTAGAGGCTTGGACGTGACTTGATGACGAAGTATTACCAGAACTTGGTCCCTGAACTGATCCCATGTTTGCTGGGGCTGCTGACGGAGCAGGCAACACTTGTGTATTCATGTTATTACTTACATGAGAAGCACTCGAAATGCCCTGTTTTAAAGAGTTAAATATCTGTCAATAGAGTACTGTATTGAAAGAAATCTTTATGTCATATATCAGTAGTGACAGAAAAACAAAGTGATCCAACCTTATTCTTAAGAGAAGTACTTATTTTAGGAAATGTATACATAAAGGGCCAGTTGAAGAAAATCGAATGTATTCTTAAATAAAGCCTTTATTTCAATCTCAAATGTCTTTTAAATTATGTAGACAGAGACAGCAAAATGGTCTGGAGAGAAAAAGTGCTTGCCACACAAGCCTGAGGACCTGAGTTCAATCCCTGGGACCTACGTGATAGGGAGAGAATCGGCTCCTCAAGTTATCCTCTGACATACACATCCTCACGTGATAGCATGCACCAAGTCCACACTCACACACATACAGCAAGAGAAAATAAAATCAGTAGAAAAATATAACCAGTATCAATAAAATTACAATCACCAAAATGTCTGCCAAGTGTCTGCATTTCTGTCTCCCACAGCGACTCTTCTCTTAGCGCAGTAAACTTACAATGAAAACACAGCAGGCGATAACGGATAATGTCCTTATCCAAAGTTTACCCAAGCAAGACTCCAAGCATTCACTAGTCCCAACTACCTTGCTCCCAAAAGCCTTTAAAATTGGAAGGAAATTTTTTAATGTGAGCTCAAACCTGATAACTAGAATTCACTAATTTGATGAAGCCAAACAACAACAACAGCAATGACGAGCATCAGCTTGCATGGTCTTGGCCAATTTTCTAGGGGTGGGAATGGGACTTGGCAGAGGATAATGAAAAGGGGTTATGATGAGTAATTTACCAAAAATATAACCAAATGTACCACTGTTTCTACATGCAAGGAATCCCTTTCTTCAAACATCTGTCCCTAGTTCCTATAAGGACTGCTGACTTAACTCAAGCTAAGAACATACCTGCACTTGTTTCCCATCTGGTTGTGACACGATGTAGCTGACCTGCTGGGACGGTGGGGGAGGAGGTGGTGGTGGCGGTCCCTGAGGTATACTTGCAGGGGCTGCAACCTGCATGAGAGGTACTCCTGTGTGGAGATGCAGGGGCATTGGAGGGTGCATGGTGAATGGGTTCCGCTGCATGTTCATCATAGGAGCATGAACACCCACTGGGTATGGGAAGATACCCATAGGCTGATGCTGGGCATTCACTGGAGGCTGCAGTACGCTCATGTGTGGCTGCATCATATTTACAGGCAGCTGAGAACCATCAACTTGATTTGTTTGGTCTTTTAAGTTAGAATCTGTCAAAAGAAAAAAGGCTTGGTAACAACAAAAAAAATGACATTATACTTATCATAAACACAGAATCAAATAGCAAAAGGCTCAGGACAACAAAGCCAGAAGCTACTTATTTAATCTTGTCATTTTAAATATGCAATCAATTTTTAACAACAAAAAATGCTCATAATAACTAATGTCAGTTTACATAGCAGAATCAAACTTAGCATAGAAAGGTAAGAGGTGTCTCATATTTTTTAATCCCAGCACTCAGGTAGACATCTCTGAGTTTTGAGGCCACCCTGTTCTACTTAGAAAATTATAGCAAGGGCTACATAAGGAGACGCTGTCTTTAAAAAACGAAAAGGAAAAAAGAAAAGAAAAAATTAAAAATTACTAATTCAAAAGACTAGTTTTAAAAAAAAAAATCACATAAAATTAGGGAAGTTATACCAACTGAGTATTTTCAACAGCTTTACTTTTGTTTTAGAAACATATGAAACACAAGTTAAACTATGTATAATAACACCCCAAACTCCTTTTTTTTTTTTTTTTTGGTTTTTCGAGACAGGGTTTCTCTGAGTAGCTCTGGCTGTCCTGGAACTCACTCTGTAGACCAGGCTAGCCTCGAACTCTCGAGGCTCAGAAATCCGCCTGCCTCTGCCTCCCAAGTGCTGGGATTAAAGGCGTGCGCCACCACCGCCCGGCCCAAACTCCTTTAATATGGTCTCTTATAGCCAGTTCCAGGCTAGCTAAGGCTATACCATGAAACCCTGTCTTTTTTTTTTTTTTAAATGTAGTATGTAAAATAAATGTTGATTTATTAAGTATTTGTATAATTAAAAGTGACTTACAAAAACTGGAATTCGGTATAATTTTAGCAAATATTGAGGTAAAGATCATTTCGATTCAAGCTGTTATGCTCAGTGCCTTTTTCCCCCCCAAGTTAAACATTAAGAACGAGCAAAGAATGTTACCCTGCTCAGGTGTTTCCTCTTCCTGTCTCATCCACGCAGACTGTGGTCCTGAAGAATTCCTGCCACGCCGAGAGTAGTAGTTCTGCACATCTGCTGGCAGAGTCTTTCTTACTGCCCAGCTAGATGCAGATGTCCACCCCGACCTGTCCGCTGGCGTGCCGAAGGACAGATCTTGCTCATTTTTCCGCTTACAGGGCTGCTGCTCCACAGACTTGAAAGAGTCGCCCCCTGAGAGGGGGGTACGGCTTTGCCACCTGTTCTCGCTCTGATCACTACTACAGGCAAAACTACCTCTGTAAGCACCTTTCCCACGGCTACCTCGACCACGGCTGGGCATCCAGCCTGGGCCAAAGTTTTTAGTCCAAGAATTCCCTGAATTTTCATTTCTGTTTTCTTCCCAGTGGGAATCTTTTAACTTTTCTGGATTTCTGGTCCTTGGATCTGGCCCAGAGTTTATTTTTTCTGTTACCCAACTGGGACAGTCATTTCTATGCTTATCTGTGGAACTTGGATCATTAGTATCTGCAGTGATGTCATTTTTTTCATTTCTTGTATTTTCATTCTGTTTCTCTGAATCACTCCTCCGGTACCGGTCATTTCCTCTGGGACACCTCCAACCATCATTTGTCCATCTTTCCTTCCACCGAGGAGAGTAATTATCTCTTTCATTTCTACCAAATGACGAACTACTCTTACTTTTTGTTCTTACTCTTGATGGCGATCGAGAGCGAGATCTGGACCGAGACCGTCTTCTAGCTCTCCTCTCTCTGTCTCGGTCTCTCCTCTGAGCGTCTCTGTCACTTTCTCTTTCTCTGCTCCGGGACCTAGACTTTTCTCTTGAGGAAGAATCTTTCACTCTGGACTGAGACCTCTGGTTCTCTCTAGAAGTATCTCTTCTTGGGGAGCCTGACTCAGACCTTTTAGCTTCCCTAGCATTCTCTCTCTTTGGAGACCGAGACTGCCTCCTTTCTCTTGCTACATCTTTTTTCGGTGAGAGAGAACGAGATTTTCTCCGTCCTCTGGCAGGCTCTCTCTTGGGTGACGGTGACTGGGAATTCTTACGTTCTGTCGCAGTCTCTCTTTTTGGAGATGGAGACTGAGCACGCCTCTTCTCTTGTGCAGCATCTTTATTGGGAGACCAAGTTGTAGATGGAGAGTGGAACCTAGATCTTCGAGTACGAGGCTTTGGGGCTTTATCCACTAGGCTCTCAGCTGGCTGAGCTACAGTTTCGATAACAGGATCCTTCTCGATAACAGGATCAGAAGACAGCTTGTTGTCAGAACTGTGCGACACAGAATTTTCACTCAATTGTTTAGAGTCAGTATTTGCCAATGACTCTACTTCAGATTCATTCTGGTCACTACAGAAGGAATCGCACTCCATAGGAACTGTTTCATTATTATCTTCACTGAAATGTTTCTCACTCTGTTCAACCTCTTTGTGAGGTAACTCTGCATGGGTGGGATGTTCAACCAGAGAGTCTGCCTTTTCTTCTAAGGATATATCCAATTGGGTGTTGTCATGATTATGTTTTAATAAGTTATCTTCACAATCTTGAACAACACCAGAACTTTCATTTTCTGAAGTGCCACATGTTGGAATTATTTCTGTATTTTCTGTTTGAATGTGCTCAGGCAACTCAGCGTCTGGGCTGGGAACACAGTGTCTGTCCAGTCTCTGTGGAATTTCACCTTCAGAAGATTCCATTTTGGGGCTCTCTACAAACGCTTCTGTGTTTACTACAGAATTGTTCAAATCAGTACTTTCTACTATGAGACTTTCCTCTGTCCCCTCATCACTGACCACTGGTGCAGTGCTATCAGATACTTCACCCAGGGGACTGGACACTGGTTGGTGTTCTTCAATGTCAGAAAGTGGATGTGTAAGAAAATCTTCAGGAGGACTCTCTGTACATGCAAGTGCCTGTACCTCTGACTCTGAGCTTCCAGACACCTGCTCTTGATTTTCTAATGGATCACTTCCTCTTAGAGAAGTATCAGTAGAAATATCATGGTCTACACATAACTCCTTAGCCTCTATCCCTGTATCCTCTCCAACAAGCACAGGAGGATACTGAGTGCAGGATTCAGAATTTAATATTTCTGTTTGTTCCTCAATCTCATGATTCTTGGTTTGTTCATTTTCTTCTGTTTGTTCACTGCACTTAGCCAAATGATTCTCTTCATCTGTGTGAACAGAGCAAATGCTACTACTTTCTACACATGACTGTTGCTCTTTCTCCAACACAGGTGGAGTGTCAGAGTCCACAGTTTCTTCTTCTACGGAATCACTAGATGTTGTTTTTTCAGCAGGAGGCACAGATTTCCGAAGTTTCTTTTTCAGTAAAGGTGGTTTTCTTCCTCTCCTTACAGACTTCCGTTTTGGAGCCTGTCTTGTTTGCTTTTCTGGTTCAGCTGGAGAGGAAATACTTACAGAGGAATTACTATTCCCTGGGGCATCACACTCAGAGTAGTTTGACACTGGGGACTTCTGGGACTGACTGACTGTCTCAGCTCGTGTGTTGCGTGTGGACCTCCTTGTAGGAGCAGTTGCTGCCGTTTTTCGTCTTGATCCTCTGGTGTTTGATGTGCCTGAAGTCTGCTTTTTTTCTCCTCCTCCTTGGGTATGTGCTAATGCATATCCCTTATGAGAAGTTCCTGACAACGTAGAAAAATAAAAGGTATTTCAAAATGTGTTTCCACATACAATTTGACTATAGTTAGTTTCAGAATAATAATTAACTAAAATCAATAAATAATATACTTGTTAATCAAACTATTAGGTATATCTCTAATAAATGAGTAACAGGAGATTTCATCGACATCTAGGGGACAAGAGACTGAGACTCTCTTGTATCCCAGGGTAGCCTATACTCAGTACTTAGCCCAGGGTAGCCTATACTCAGTACTTAGTCCAGGATGATCTTGAGCGCCTGGATGCTCCCACCTCCCAAGTACTGGGACAACAGGCATGCGCCACACCACAGCCCGCTGCTTGTCAGTGTCTCTCTAATGTTACTGACATAAGGGCACAGACAGATGTGCTTCCTTAGGTACAAACTGTTTATGAACTCTCATTTTCTAGGCAAAAGGAAACAGGAAATGCTACCCACGCGTGAGTATAAAGACTACTTGTCTATACTGAACTCGCAGATGTTATTTCTAAAGAGCTATGATTTAGACTTTAGAACCCTAAACAAAAAAAAGATTTCTAGTCAGTTCTCTAAGTCTTAAAAATGTAGCACAGACTTTCTAGTTAGAAAATTAAAGTAACTCATGAAGCTGTATTTGCCATGTACATCGTGATGTTTTAAAGAACACACTGTGAAACGACAAAATCTATCTAGTTAACATACACCTCAATCCACAGTTATCTTTGTATGTATAGTGTGCACATTTCACAAGATGATATTATTAACTATAAACACCACTTGTAACGCTAGATCCCTTATCCTTACTCACCCACACTCCGCTGCACTTCATGGTAACTACCACAGGAGTCTCAGCTCCACATGAGTGTCATCAGGTTTCTTGTCATTTCATGCCAAGATTATATCACTCACCAGAACGTCCCCAGGCCCATCCATTTCAGTGGACGGGAGTCCCTCCTTTTAAATGGCTATATAATAATCCACTCTGCACATGTACTCTGGTTGTACAGTAAAGTTACACACTATAAAGTTACATACTGCCCAAACAGTTACAGAAATTTCCAAAAATCACTTTTTGTTATTCTAAATCATCAACACTCACGTGTTTGTGAACACTATAAAGTTACATACTGCCCAAACAGTTACAGAAATTTCCAAAAATCACTTTTTGTTATTCTAAATCATCGACACTCACGTGTTTGTGAATTGAGTTAATAATTATTATAGCAAAAAGTAAATTCACAAACTTTACCAAAATTTTCTAGTGACATGGTACTTGCTGGAAAAATCATCCTTGGCAACACCGAGGAAACCAGAGGAAGAACTGCTGTCTCCACACTCCAGGGTACAGAGCCAACTCTAAAAATTTAAGCAAAGATTTCTTTAGTTATGTGATCTAAAAATTTGAGCTAGGAATGAAAAACTACTATATTCTCCAAACCACGCTTTTCTGGCCCACTAACTAAACATGTAAGCTCAAGGTTATTCATTATCCAAACATGGCTACAAACTGCTTGCCAGGAAAGGAAACAAAACAAAAACAAACTTTAAAGGTTTATGTTTGTGTTAAAATGAAAGCAAACATTTCTCTTTTAAATAATGGAGTATTTTACACAGATTTTTTTTCCCCCAGGGCCTGGGACGGGGGACGAGGAGGTGGGGGGAAGGGGGATGGAATGATGGCTTAATGGTTCAGAGCACTTGCTATTCTTTCAGTTCCCAGCATCCAGGCTGTGTGGCTCACAACTGACTGCCTGTAACTGCAGATTCAGGAGACTGACGCCCTCTCCAGGCCTCCAAATGCACTCACACAATGTGCATATACTCATACATAGACACACACATACGTAAGACCATAATAATATATCTTCAAAAAAAAAAAATTCAGTCCTTAAAAAAAAATATTGTTTTAACTTTTATTCTTTTCTGCTACTATAAAAAACACCAACTCTCAGGTACAGTTGATGTAAAATATAAGTTCACTTAAGTATATAATTTGATGACTTTTAAACAATACACACACACACACAAACACACACACACACACCACATCCAGAACATTTTCATTTCTCAATAAGCTTCCTCTCACTCACTTTTTTGAACCCTTCTCTCTCCATCAGGTCAACCACTAAAGGAATCTTTATACTACGCTTATCCTTTAAAAGTCCTTAGACTGAGAGTGATGTCTTTTCAGTTCTGAGGAATGGTGTGGAGCAGGTAAAGTCCCCAAACTGTCTGCATTCAAGTCCAACCCACTTCTCAAGCACTGTCTACATAAATTTATGTCTCCTAACAAAAGACCACTTCAGTCAGTATCAGATGAGATTATAGAAGAAATAAGACTTGAAAAAGAATATTTGACTTGTGTAAGTACAAAATCAGTCAACTGTAAAAACGGTTGAAAGTATCTGTAAATCAAACTCATTTATATTTATGTTCCACCATTTCTAATGCATGAAGGCATTACATACAGAACTATATCACAGTTACAGATGAGATCTGTAATATAAGGAACGGACATAAAGCTCAGGAATTGCTATCAATGCAGGCAGGAGCTTACCTCAGCAGTGTGTATTTGGACTTGTACCAGCTTTGGGACTATTAAAAGGAAAGACTGGATTATAGAAAGTCCTGAATGAAGGCAAGGGCACAGTAAGCACAGGACCAAATCACTATTTAGAGTATGTATGAAAACAGAAATACAGAAACAATGCTTCAGCAGAGAGCACACAGCGTTAGGCATTTACGGCACCAAGTTTAATTTATACAGACTCTCCTTAAGAAGTACAGATGGAACCTATACTTAAGAATTTTGTGGTATCTTTGTATTTGTATTAGATATAAATTTTAGTGAACAATTTTTACCTTCCATTTCCAGGTAATGTATTAGGAAACCATGACAACTCCAGTTCCTGTCGTTTCTGCCTCATCAATGCACTGACTTCATTGACTTCTATAGATTCTGTACTAAAAAAAAAAATTTAAGTTTCATTAGAATTTCCCAAATTAAGAAGTTTAGAGGAAAAAACTGAATTATGACACAAATAGTAATAGTTTCCACAACCAGCATCATATAGACACTTCCAAAACATGCACACCCCTATCATAAGTAGAACTTTTACAATACAAAACTGTATTTAAATGCATACAGTAAAGAATTGCTGAGAATTCTGTATGAAATGGCAGGATGTTTTTTGCTTTTGAGAGTCTGCCTAGATACAAAGTCTAGGCTGGCCTCAAACTTCCATCATGTACTAGTTTTGATGAGGACTGATAGAAAGCCACAAGCACCAGGGCAGCCTGGGCACTTGATCAAGGAGTTATTCAGACAAACTTCATGTCAGACATTAACTCCGATTGCTCAGAGAAACTCTTACTTGGGACAATTATGGTCTACTATAGCCCAAAAGAAGAAAATACAAATGGGTGTGGTTATCTTGACCAAAAATAGATTTAACTCAGCTTTTGATAAAGGGAATCAGATGTAATTGTTTCTAGAGTACTCAGCCAAGCCCTAAAAATATCACAATTCTGTTCTACTTTGTTGACTCAATTAAATCTGTGTGATTTTAAAACATCAGTATTTAAATCACACAAATATATATATATACCCAGCATCCACCTGTCAATCACAATATATCCAAAGATTAGAGGGTCAGCTCTAACACAGCTGTTTTAATAGGTGCTACACTTATGACTGCATGCATGCCTTGTTTCCCCAACACATATACAAAGTTATACTCAACAATTTACTAATGTAGGCAAACACTGTCCAACAGTGAATAACTCACAAAAATAACACTCACTTTGCTAGTACTAGTTTGTCTTCTACAAGGAACAATAACAGGGTGAGTTCTATCACTTTCATTGAGCCTAGTTTAAATTTCTACCAAAAGTCAAGTATGACTAAAACACACTGTGTAGTAACTACAAACCAAGGACAGCAGGCACTAACCAGGAAGCTCTGTCGGTGTGAGGTCCCCAACTGTGGCTGCCACAGGAAAGCACACCCGATGTGTCATTTTTGATACAAGAATCTGTACACTGATTTGATCTTTGAACCTAAAAATATAAAGTTATTAATGAGACCAGACACAAAAATGCTCAAAAGGATTTGTATCCACCTTAAGCACTAAATCACTAAATAACTATTATGAAGAAAAAAGTTTTCCTTTATTTCAACAAACCTTATTTGTCTTTACTGTAGCATTTTTCTTTCCACCCATTTTATTGTTTGAAAAGTTTCCTATAAAACAAGCAAACAAAGAAAACAGAACCTGGTTACTTGCTTCAAATTTTATTTCAGAAGTCTGTACACCTTTGACATTGATAAAGAATGTCAAAGTGTCTAGATGTGTTGAACCTCTAATAATAATGCTAGTCACGTCTTATTAGAACACAGACAAAAGGAAAATACAGTTACAATAAACAGAACCATTATACTCACAGCATTGTGGGTATGATTCTAATCAATACTTTTTATCACCTTAAGCAAAAAATGTGACATACAAGTCTTTAAGCTTTAAGTTCAATTAATTACATTTAGGGTTTTTTATCTACCCATTACTTAAGATAGTTAGTTACAAGATCACCTCAAGTAGGAGCTTCCTGAGGGCCTGGTTAGTCAGGCCACCTTCAGCCACTAAGCCTTCAGAGCAAGCACCTCAGTCTTCAACCTCTACTGAAATACAGGTGCTGACTGGCTCTGCTTCTGCTGTAGTGATGATACTGTGTAGTGATGATACTGTGTAGTGATGATGCTGTGTAGTGATACTGTGTAGTGATGAT